TATATATATATATATAGTATAGACAGTATGTTATATATATCTTTGTATCTTGCCTCATACAACATTCATTGCGAATTGTGCAGTGTGTGAGCGTTGCATTTAGACCGTTGAACATTAATCCAGTAATCAACCAATCAAGTGACAACAGCAGATGTATTCCATGACTGTGTATGTGCAGTTACACCATGGACTTGTCCAGCAGGCTCTGGATGTTGATGGAGCTGGCCGAAAGTTGTGGAATCAGCACACTCCTACAGGGCTTTGAGCAAATTTGGAAGCTTCTGCTTGTTTGTCTTCTCAGCAGGCTACTGTTCAGGTTGGGTGAGCATCACGGCCTCCTTTTTCATTTTTGCAACTGGAATTACTTGGAGGTTGCCATGTAAACAACAAACCAATGTCCACGTGAATTGTATCCCCAACTGCTTTCCTTTGTGTGTTTCTCAGGAGGCCTGTCCTCTGTGAATCATGTTGTGTCGATGTTTGCGGGCATCTACAGCCTGTTCCTCTTCTTTAACCTGCACATGCTGTGGGTGATGCTGCTCAGCATGCTTTGCTACCTTATTCTTCTTCTTGGCCGACACTCCAGAAACAAAGGCCTCTTCCTCTCCACTGCCATTCTCATTTACCTCCTCATTGGGTAAGAAAACATTTTGCACAATCATATTTAATGGACTATGTTCCAACTAAGAGTATTGTTTCAATTGTGTTGCTGACCTTATTGAGGTACACCAAAGAGTGAGTTTGATGCACTACAGTTCTGTGCAAATTACAAGTCACAATAATAAACACTGTTCAAAAAAGACATCTCTGACAGCATCCAGAAATCAAACAGTTGGTTATGAGATATATTTTTAGCAGTGTTTGATGTCAAATTCCCATTACATAGGTTATAGGTTATATGTCTTGAATATAAGTTAAAAAGTATTTGCAAATCATTGTATCCTGTTTTTAATCTACATTTCAAACAACGTCCCAACTTCAATGGAATTGTGGTCTGTACGTAATAAGCTGGCTCTTAAGGTTTGATTTTGTATTGCAGTAGATTTAAAGTGTTATTTTTCTTTTGTCTTCCAGAGAAATGCATTTAATTGACACAGTCACCTGGCATAAGATCAGAGGTAAAATGGTTTATACTCTCCAAATACTCTCGCCACCAAAAGCTGATGTTTTTGGAGATTTATGTTTCTGTTTTCCATTTTATGCAAAAACTACAAAATGGGTTTTCTATTTTTGTGGAGGTTGTGGCATGGCCCAAGGGAGCGCGTAATATATTGAGTATGATAAGGTGCAGATCCAATAGTTTTTTTTAATTCGTCCTTATGGAAGGATTCATGGTGAACAGAACTTGGGCGTAGGGTTCATTTTGGGTTCAAGTATTACTTGAACCTTTCAAATGTTCATTCTCTTTCATCCTGACAAAAGTGTCATTTTGTGTGTTTTTGAGAGGCAGTCAGATGGTGGTGGCCATGAAAGCCATTTCTCTTGCATTCGACTTGGACAGAGGAGCAGTCGGCGCTTTTCCCACACCGACTGAGTTCCTCGGCTATGTTCTCTTTGTGGGCAACATAATCTTTGGGCCTTGGATCAGCTTCTCAACATATAAAGCTGCTATTGTCGGCAGACAACTGGTGAGAATTTTTTAGTGGTTCTTATGTCTGTGATTTGTTGTGCTTTGAAGTTATTAAAACCTTCCTGTCCTCAGAGCTGGTTATGGCTGCGCCGTTCCTCTCCCAGCCTCTTAAAAAGTCAGATTTGTCTGCTGGTGTCCTCTTGCATTGCACCGTACCTATTCCTTTTGTTCATCCCCATCAATGGAAATGCCATCACACACAAGTGAGGACATTTGTTGTTTATATATTTTCTATGTTTGCCCACAACATAAAACACGTGCCAGATGTATTGGTCTTATTTTATTCCAAGGCTTTGACTTACTTGGGTTAGTTTTTGCTGCTTTAGGGTAATTAGTGTGTTCATATTCAAAGGCTCTGCATTGTAAAATCTGCATTTTTACAGTAACAAAATTTTACAGTCACAAACTTTTCTAAATAGAAATGAGCAACAATGAGAAATAACAACTCAAGATACCTATCATATATAGTCAGATATATACATACTAGCATACATAATTTCATAACATTACTGAGATTCTTTACCTCATGAAAAAAAAGCAATCACTGAACAGATAATGCTGCTTGTTCCTGCTGAGTAATGAAAGTTACACTCATCAAATTTAATTCCAATCTCTGAATGTTTTTTTTAAAACTTTCCATGAAGTGATTACTTGAGCTGTGACACAAATTTCACTCATTTTTGTGGTTTTCTCTATTCCTTTTAAGTTGTAGTGACTCCACTCCACGTATCAGTCTGCAAGTAACGGTATACTGCATATAATTTTGTTACAAGTTACGTGTTATGTGATTTGCATTATACTGTAATCCACCAGATCATCAACGACTGCAGTGTTAATGTCAGCGCATTAAGTAGATTTAAATTAAAATCTGATATAGGCGCACAATCGGTATTGGACATGATAAATCCAGGCTTAGAATTATTGGGTATGCCCGACACTATAAAGTACAGTACATAGGTCTTAAAAGTAGACATAGACTGTGGCCTCAGTCCATCCACAGAACAGTATCAACAAAGAAGGGCATAATCCATAGTTTCTGTTCTTTAGAAAAGTTGAAATAACCCTATTAAAAGTTCTCAGGTCTTCAGGAGCTCCCAAGAATATGTTTGAGTTTGTTTTTAAAATTAACTGTTTTATGTTATGTAGGTGGCTGAGTGCCTATGAGAATGCACTGTCATTCCACTTCAGTAACTACTTTGTGGGCTACCTCAGTGAAAGCACCAGCATTCTGGCTGGAGCTGGCCACGTTGAGGAAAAAGACAACATCAGGTGGTGAGTATATTCAAGGCAAAGATTGGTGGATGCTATTGAAATGCGAATAGTTTCAGAGCTTGTAGAAGGAGACGTACCGCCGCTCGTTCCTGCCACTGCTGTCAGGCTGTTGAATAGACGGTCCTGAAAACCTGGACTCACCCCCACTCACCCAATTTTAATATGCTTATATTTATTTTTTATATTTATATACTTTTTGTCTTCTACTTTCTTTCATAATTTTGCTGCTGTAAATTGGGAATTTCTCCATTGTGAGACAAATAAAGGTTTTATTATCTTATCTTGTAGTCATTTAGTGTAGAAAATGCACGGGCAAAATGAATACAACAATAATGTTTAATTATTTTAGATGACAGGCTACAATAATTAGAAATTACCACCTCCTCAGAAATAGCATGTCAATTTTGAAATGTCATCACAGATGACCAAGACTGAACTCATATAGAGCCCCAAAGGATTCTAGGGTTTTTTTTTCAGGTTTTCAATTAAATTGTTCATATATATTTTTTTCCAAATTAAATGTATAGTGTATCTCATAGCTTTACATTTCAAAACAAAATTGGTATTTTACAGGGGTCTGTTGATATTTTGCATCCCCTTGAGTTCATTTATTTAGATGTAGAAATGTTTACAATACAAAACCTGAAATTGTTCTAAAGGTTAATGCATCAGTTTCTTTAAAAAAAAGTCAAGGAAAATACCAATATTTATTTATAATTGTGTGTGCAGGGAAATAGAAGTGGTCAAACCCCTGAATGTGGAAATGCCTCGTTCCATGGTTATGGTTGTGACGTCCTGGAATATTCCCATGTCACAGTGGCTTAAGATTTGTAAGTCTACTTCTTTCTTGTTGTCTGTTTAAGAGGGAGGAAATTTCATCTGTGCTGTAGCACATTTGACAAAAAATTTGTACTTGATACTTGATTCACACAGGTGTGTCATTAAAACCTCTCAAGTTGTAATTGGTATAAACGGTCGACACACCATGAGCACCCATCATCAGAATAATCCTTTATTCAAAATCCTGCATAGAAATGTACAACACATTTGCTGGTTTAGTCCACATATAGCATTATTTTCTGTTCTTGCCTTCAGATGTCTTCAAAAATGCCATGAAACTCGGTACTTTTCCTGCCATCCTGGTCACATATACAGCCAGTGCTTTACTGCATGTGAGTACATTACACTTGAAATAATGGACGATTGAAGGGAACCTATGATAAATCAATGCTTTCAAATACAGTGGTGCCTTCAAATACTACTGACCCCACTTTTGAGTTTTTGAAAATACGAGATATGAACACTGTATGGTGGCAGTTAACACAACTCAACTCACTTCACAACAAGCTGCAGGTTGGCAGATATAATTCTTCAAAACAAGTCTTCAAGATGTTCATTGTCATTCCCTGTTTATCTTTACTACAATACATCTTGATCTATATAGCGCTTTCACAACATCTGCAGCTGTAACTAAGCACTTTACAGAACAGTTAACATAAAATAACAAAATAATAATAACACAACACATAAGACCCGTACGGACAGTCATGTAATCATAACCACTATTGCTGCTTATGCTTTGTTGTTTGAAGCAATTCTAGATGAAAGAGGAGTTCTTTCACCTCAGCAGTGGATCAGAGACATCATGCTCAAAATGTGCACACGTCTCCTACAAGCTAAGTTTGAAAGTAAACACGAAGCTGTGGCGTCCATTGACGAAAAAAGAGATTGGTTCGCTTCACTTCTCCCGTCCCATGTAAATCCGCTTTACTGCTAAACCAATCATGAAACAAAAACAATGACTTTACATGTTGTCTATTTAAAGCAACCACATAACTTTGCCTTTAAGTCTGCTGGCTTAATGCTGACACACAATGGGAAATGCCAACTGAATAGCAACTGTGTCACAGTGTTACAACAAAACCTTTACCAAGTGATATTTGAACACAAGCAGTGGAGCAACATACCCGGTATGTTAACAGACAATATAAAAATACATGTATACTTTCTTTATCCTCGGCAAAGAGTGACTAATGTTGAGCTGAGACTGACTCCATGTACAATATTATCTGTATGTCATTTTAAAAATATTACATTTTGTGTGTGTGTGTGTGGGGGGGGGGGGGGGGTT